CACAGCGGCCGCCCCATGGCGGCCCCGGCCCGGCCCGGCCGGCGGAGGCGGCGGGAGGCGCTCCCGGAGCCGCTCCCGGACGCGCTCCCGAAGGCGCGGCCGCCCCGACGCTGCCGCTGCCCGCCCGCCGCGTCCCGCCGAGCGCCCGCCGCCGAACTGAGCCGCTCCCGCACCGCCCCGCCGACAGCCCGGGCTCCTCCTCCGCCTTCCTCCGCCCTCCTCCTCCTCCTCCTCCTCCTCAGCGGCCTGATGGGGCTTGTAGTCGCCGGCTACGCGCCCCCTCACCCGGGAGCCCCCGGCAGCCTCCCGGCAGTGGGGTCCTGGGCATCCCCCCGGAGTTTTGGGGGCGGCGGTGACCCCGAAGCCAGCGCGGGCTGCGTTCGCCGTGCCGCAGGGATGCTGGCCGGGATGCTCCCCTCGCCTCTGCGCCCTCCCCCAGTTGCTCTTGCCAGCACAGGGGAAGCCTCAGGGTCCGCGGGCACAGGCCAGGGTGAAGGGATCGCCTGACCCCCCCTGTTTTCCCTGTGCAGCATCCAATCTGGAGGCAGCGGGATGCAGGCAGGGGGATACAGGCAGCAGGGTGGGCAGAGCCCTGGGCAGCCTGGAGCCCCCTCTGAGAGCGAGGGCCAGGGCACCCACTGGCTGTGAGCAGATGTTTAAAGGGTCACCAGCCCCAAATCTCTCCCAGGAGCTACCACCAGTACAGTCCCTGCCCCTCGCAGCTGTTTTCACTGAGGTTTGGAGCAGGAACATGGTACCCGTAACACAGAGCACCCCAGAACTCTCAACATGCACCTCCTGCTCAGTCTGAGCTTGGGATCATGCTCAGCCCCCCAGACCAAAAGGCAAGGTAGGATATTGCCACATCAGTGAGCCCAGCCTGACTTCTGTACTCCCCAGTATGGGAACCCAGTCCACAGAGCCCACGTGGGCATTCAAACTCCCCCAAAGCTAGGCTGGCTCGGGGTAACACGGGTAGTGCAGGGCATTCAGCCCCTGTGCAGGAAGCACTATGGGAGAAGCCCTGAATCCAAGTCAGGGCATCCCAGGATGAAGACATTTCCAGGCAGCAGTGAAAGATCTGCCGAGGCAATGTGTGAGTGATTAAGCTATAAGAGGGAAGAGGACAGGCTGAATTAGCCCTGTCAGTCACCGGTGCTAGATTTGAACCAAATGCTGGGCATCCATCCCCAGGAGCAGCCTCCTCCTGCTTCAGGCAACCGTTCAGCTCCCCATGCCAAGACCCACGGAATATTTCCTTTTCAGGACGAGAGATTTGTGGACAGGGAGAAGGGGGAAAGGTAACATACCTGCTGAGATGCTCTTCTCCAAGGAAGCTGAAGATGGGGAGCATTTCAACGACGGCAGAGCCAACCCCAGCCCCAAACAAGCACAACTCACCCCATACACATTTAGGTGCAGTTGCCCAACAGCCAGGAGCTTTGCACTGAAGGTGCCAAGGCTGCTGGGGAACCCACACATGCTGGGTCAGTCTCTCCATGACTCCCACTGGGCTTCTGCCCCAGACTTTTCCATGCTGGCCCCAAAACAGACCTTGCAGGGCCACACCGTGATGGACAGGCTCACACCTCTGCAGCTGCTGGTCCCTGGGGATGGTTTTCAGTGTGACTGCATCAACTGGACACAAGTTCTTGGGCCTTTATCAATAAAGGTGCTTGGCAATGGCAGGAAATGGGAGCCTCTGAATCACGTTGGGGCTCAGCGCAGGAGTGACCACAAGCTGTCACCATCTGGTGGCATAAATGGAGCATGAGCAGGTCCTCCAGGATGGACAGGGAGGGGAATGCTCCCCTGGAGCTGCTGGGAGTCTGCGAGGGGCATAACTGGAACTAACGAGCAGCAGAGCCCCCAGAGCAGGCAGGACCTCACTGCTGGCACTTGCAGGAATGAGCAGGGGCTGGGGCAGTTCCTTGGCATCACCAGGCCATGCTGGCCCCGAGCCCTTCTCTGGGACCAGGGGAGGAGGGGTGCTGGGCTCTTTCACACACAGGTTTGCATTGGTGATGCAATTTTGAGGCTTGCGAGGCCGGGCCTTGGAGGGTTTTGTCTTGGCTGAGGAGGAACAAAGGGATTTAGGGAGCAGCTTACCCGGGATGTGGCTCCCAGAGCCCACAGCTTGCACAGCCTCCTGCAAAGCCCCCCTTCCTCCCACAGCACAGGGCTGAGCACGGGCAGGGGCTGTACCTGCTGGCACACACCCACCCCCTGCCCTCCAAGAGGGACATCCCGCCCGGAGTCACACACACACACACACACACACATGTGCACACACGGATCCCCTCCGGCTCCACGTGTGCCTGTCTGCACACTCAGCGCTGCCAGACTGCCCTCCCCCGCGCGCCAGCACAGGGCTGTGGGGTGTCCTTCATCCTCCTCTTCCTCATCCACCGCCTCCGCACGCCGGCTCCCAGCTGTGGCATCGGAAGCAGCAAAACCCATCGCGGGCGAAGCTGACCCAGCCCCGCAGCCGGGAGAGCAGCCTGTCCTCCCAGGATGGTTCCCCCACGTCTCCAGAGTGGTTCCAGTGGGAACCAGAGTGTGAAGAGGGGGCACAGAAAGGGCTGAGCCGGCGGAGGAGAGGCCCCGCACAATAGAGCAGCTCCCCCCTGACCTTGCCTTCCCCGTGAAAGATCTGCTGCTCTCCCCTCCTCCCCACTACAAAGGGGCTCCTTTCAGTCTCTAATTCTGCATTTAGAAAACAAAAGCAGATGCATCTAGTTTAGGTTTGGAGAGGGGGAGGCAAGAGCAAATGCTGAAGAACAAAGAGCTTTCCCTGACAGATCCGACTGACAAAGACTTTGTCAGCTCCATCTCTGCCTGAAAAGGCCGGAGCACATCAGGGTGCAGGGCTCCTGGCAGGCAGCTGCCGGGCTGGCGGCTCCCAGCCTGGCCAGGCAGAGCACAGGCAGAGCACACACGTGTGGGACGTGCCCCAGCCCCACGTGTGCACTCGTGCCCATGGGTACACAGCCTGGCCCCAGGGCTCAGGCGGGACACCCGTGCCCATCCCCAGGCAGGAGCCACCCCCGAGGGCAGGCTGTGCCCTCCATCCCAGTCCCCAGGGCACAGCTGTTGCCTTTCCCCACTCTCTCCTCCTGGTCAGGCTGCAGGGTTTGCTCTGCACCCCGCAGAGATTCCAGATCCGTTGCCCGACCTTGGCAAACAGCTTCCTATCAGCTGGAATGTCTGAGTCACAGAGAGGAACTCGTGCCCCAGGGCTGGCAGCTCAGCAGCAGGATGCATGGATGAGGTTTGCCGATGCCACCTTGGAGAGAAGTTGGGCCCCTCTCCTGAGCCATCATCCAGCCAAGACATATCGATCCAAACTGACTTTTTCATTCCTCAGCTGCACCTCAACAGCATCATAACCTCAGCACCCCCCCCCCCCCCCCCCCCCCCCCCCCCCACCGCTGCTTGGCTGCTCCTCTGGGAAATGCATCCTTCTGGAGCCCCCACCTGCCAAACTGTCCAAACATCATCTCCCTCACAGAGAAGATCTGCTCCTGGACTGGGAGAGCTTGACTTCTGCCCCCAATTGATTTGCAGAAGGAAATTAATTATGTTTGTTTGACACTGCCCCTCTGGCACTGAGGCTTAGCTGCTGTATGAATGTCACACTGTTCCAGCCCAGCTTGTTCACAGGACTGGGATGTTTAATAAGCTGTCCCAGGGGACCTCAGGCACTTCCCATCGGTTGCACTGATGCTCAACTCATCCCGAGGCTGCTCGGGCTCCATGGAAGTGCCCCCATACCCAGGCAGGCTCAGAGACCCAGGGGTGGAGCAGTCCATCCCCTGTGAGGGGCAGAAGGCACGGACTCTCTGGTGACCAGCTGCTGCTCAGCTGCCCTGGTGACATCAGGACACCCCCGTGGCTGCCCAGGACAGCCTCTGTCTCCAGAGGCAGGGCAGGGCCAGGGCACTGCCCGTCCTGTTCTCTTGGTTCTCCACCCTGAGAAAGTCTCCTGCTATCTTTGGATCAGCCCCAAAAGATCTACAGGGACAGATAAAGGCTCTCAAATCCATCAGAGCAGCAACAACCACATCCTCAGGCTGTTATCTCGCCTTCACAGGGAGAGGACACAGCAGATAACAAATGTCAGTTATTTACAGGATTTGTAGTGATACAGGCACAAGTCAAATCACTTGGGGGATCTCCTCTGGTGAGGGCACGCTGCTTTACTGCATCTCTGCAGCAGCACCAGGGGCTGCTGCCACCCCTCTGCTTGCCAGGAACCAGGGGACACAGGGACAGGTCCCTGGAGCTACGGGGATCCCTGCGAGTCTCCAGGTACAGGAGCAGCCTGGGCTGACACAGAGGTCCATGTGGCCACAGAATTTGCCTCTCCCACTCCTGTGCGGGCTGGGGCCAAGGACAGTGCTGACAGCCCTTCTTCCCATGGCCTCTTTGCCATGGCATTTTGCCTTTTGTTGCTGCAAAGGTTCTGCACTTGGGTCATCTGCCAGTGGCATTTTCTGCACACTGTCATTTGGGAGCCCAATGGCAGCTCCTTCCAGCCAGAGCAGGGCTGTCACTATGTGGCAT